AAAGAGTACAGCTTACGAAACTCTATGTGGGTGGTTCTAGTCTGTCCTATGTCCTATGAGTTGGAATCAACTCAATAGCACACAACAACCATCTTAATATATATAAACCATATTTTGATGTCTTTATCTGAACTCTCATACCATTCTCAAAGAATATTTATTTCACAAAACATTATTCAACACTGCTGTGTGTCAATCAATGTTCAATGGACTACAGAAATTGCATAAACAAAGTGAAGTCTTTGCCTTCATGAAGTTTACATTCTAGTTGGAGATAATTAATAAACAAACCAGCAAGTAAATAAAAATACTCTGTTGAGATCTGTGCTTTGCAGAGTTAAAATAGAGTGTTTTGATAGAGAGAGGCTAGGTAACTGCTTTAGATTGAATGGTCAGGTAAGGCCTCTAGAAGCAGGTGGTATTTAAGCTGAGACTGAGTGACAAGGAGGAGCTAGTCATGTACTGATCCTGGAAAAGCATAAGAAGAGAAGGGAATGGTAGTCACAAGGCAAAACCAAAAAACCAAACTCACTGCTGTCGAGTCAATCTGACTCATAGTGACCCCTCGTTGGGTTTCTGAGGTGTTAAATCTACAGAAGTAGATTGCCCAATCTTCCTTCTGAGGAGTAGCTGGTGGGTTTGAATCACTAACCTTCTGGTTAGCAGTCAAATGCCTTAGGCACTATGCCACCAGAGCTCATAGTCATAAGGCAGGCATGAGCTATTTGATGTTTGGAAAAGATAAAATCCATGTACATAGGGAATAGTGATTGAGAAAGATAGTTGTGTATTATAAGATCAATGCATTAGGTAAGAGCTAGGTTGCAGAGAGCATTTTAAGCCACTGAGGAAAGTGAGATTTTATTGCAGTTGTAAGGCAAGGTTTTTAAAGCAGAGGAGTGACATGATCTGATTGATATTTTAAAAAGATAACTCTGGCTGGTGTGGAAAAAACGGATTATCACAGAGTAAAAATGGAAGAAAAGACCAACTACAAGGTTATTAGATAGTCATTCAGGCAGGAGATAATGGTGCCTTGGACAAGGATGGTATAGTTAAAATGGAGTGATATAGATGGATGTGGACCAGTCATTTTGTCCATAACTTTCTCCTCTGTTATCCATGCCAAGTCAAATGGTCATATATATCTTACAGAATTCTTTCAAAAGTCTTTTTGGTAATAATAAAAAAAGCCACTGCCATCGAGTTGATTCAGACATAGTGACCCTGTAGGACAGAGTAGAACTTCCCCATACAGTTTCCAAGGCTGTAAATCTTTATGGATGTAGACTGCCTCATCTTTCTCCTGTGGATGGACTGGTGGGTTTGAATCTCCAGACTTTTGGTTAGCAGCTGAATGCTTTAACCACTAGTAGTAACGACACTGACACCCATTCCAATAAGTAGTTCATTTTTTCTTCCATCTTCAATAATACAGATTTGTATCAATTTCCTAACTGGTTTACTACATTGAACCATAGTGAAATTGTCCAGAAGTGTTATAAAAGAAATGTGTTACCATTGAAACTTCTGAAGTCTTAGTAAAAGTTTTCAGTATTATGCTCATTTAAACATCTTTGTGAGTATAGGATTTACAGCACATTACAAAATGGTGGTAGTCATTCACTAGGCCATGTGCTCAATTCCATTTCTCTAGTGCATCAGTCTTCATTAAATCACCTTAGAGTTTCCTATTGTCTCATACCAAAGACTAACATTTTTTTCTTTTTGTTTATCGTTATAAAATGTATAAAGAATAAAACATTTGCAAATTCAGTATTTTTCACATGTACAATTCAATAAAGCCAGTTACATCAATCATATTGTGTACTCATCACCAATTTTCATTGCCAAATTCCACTTGCACCCAATCCCTCTCATCCCAGATAACCACTGTCAGACATAAACTGTAACCTCTCTATATTTGCCTATTCCAACAATGGGTACTTCATATTAGGGAAATCATACTATATTTTTCTTTTTATGATTGACTAATTTTACTCAGCATAATGTTTTCAAGGTTCATCCATATTGTGGCATGTAATGAAAGGCATTTACAAACCATGTTTTATTCCATTCACGTGCTATGGTAGAGCTCTATTTAAATAAACATGAAATTTATATTTATGCTTCACAAGATAGCACTTGTAATACATACAATGCCAGTAGCCTGAGATGAAGTAATGATCATTTCAAGAGCAAGCAAAATACAACCAAGTCATGTCATCCATGGATTTTATGGTGAATTCAGTCAAAAAGACCTACATTTACTCTTGTTCAACTTTTAACTAATTAGATTTTTAAGGATTAAATGAGATTTTTCCACACTCACTAACTCATACTAACATTGCTTCTGAAAAGAGATTTGACATTAATTTGACCTATTTGTGTGTAACAAATCTTTCATACGTACATGATATATATATAATACATATATGTATGTATTTTTTTAAGTTTGACCAGTCAAGCAAAACCAAAACCAGGTAGAGAAAAATATGTGTCAGATGGTTTTGTTGTTTATCACATGAAATATAATTTTTATTTTCTAAC